ACATATAATATTAATTAATTTTATTATTAAAATTATATTTTAAAAACCAAATTAAAAGTGTTATTTCATTTTGTAATAAAAAGTTGTGTATTAAATTGTTATTTATTTAATTAAAACAAGTTACTCTTCGATAACACAAATATTGTAATAAAAAACAATACAAATAGTTATTAAAAAACAATCAAAAAAAAATTAATAAAAGTATAATAAAAATATTATAATAATAAATAAAATCGAAGAACAATTTTTTTGAATAACCACAATAATATTTAAAAAATAACCAATGATTGTAAAGACACAAATTTTTAATTTTTCTTAGTCAATTGGACGTTTTTGATTCACAAAAATCGGGAGAAGTCTTTATTTTGATTAATGAAATGTTCCAAACTATGAAAAAAATTGAACTGTAATTCCCGACCATAAAAACCTCAGAACTTATAAAAAAATCGAAATGGAGTGTGACGAGTGTAACAAATTAGGTCGTGCCTGCCCAGAGCATTTAATTCGAATTCCCATTCTTGGGTCATTTGCATGTGTTTGTTCTCCATCACAACCAAACTATACACAAACCATTAAATTAATTAAAATAATTAAATGCATAATATTGAATTATATATACTATACTATAATATATTATATTATAATTAAAATATAATATAATATATTATAATATAATATACTTTAAACAAATAATATTAATCAAAAGGGTAAAACATCACTTCGATGGTGTTATATGCAGAATGATGGATATGAGGATATGGGTGCCTTTACTATAGACACTGGTTCTATAGCCGAGACGAACAGTTTTGAATACGCCATGTACTCGCAGACGTATACCATTCAATTGATTGACACTATGGGAAATGAAAAATACGGAAGAGTCACTGATCGAGTCCTAACATGTGACGGCTGTGTTTTTGTCGCTTCATATGACAACCCGAATTCTCTTGATAATCTTGCAACAGAAAAGGCTAAAGTCTCATTCACTGCTCAAGTCAGAGGAAAGACAGTCACAAGAAAACCACCTTATATCATGGTATGTATGAAGTCCGATCTACCAGACCCAGAAGAAGACCAAGAGGAAGACCCAGATAACCCAACAAAACAATTCACTCCAACACAATTTGTGGAGACGTGCTCGGCATTCCAAGACCCACAAAAGGTCGGAGTCTTCGATGAAGTTAATGTCATGACAGACGAAGGAAAAGATGTGATGAACGATATGTTCGAAAAAATCATTCAAGCTGCTATTAGTACACACAGAGAGTGGTACTTGGAAGAACACCCAGCTCCAAAGTAATTTAGTCGTTTCGACAATGTTTGAATTGTTTTTTATTTTAACACTTAAAATAACTCCCTGGTGTTTTATTTAAACTGTTTTTACTGGATATTTATCCAAATTTTGATAATTTACCCTTTTGGCTTGTGTGATCTTATGCACATAATATAATCTCTAGAAAAACGGAAAATTATTTAATGAACTTAAGATTTCCCAATTTTTAGACCAATTGAATTTTGTTCAGTGTTATTTAAGGTGTTAATAGTATTATTTATATGTTTTCTTTAAGGAGAAAATAAAGACCACTATATAATTGTCGTATACTTGATTTTAAGGTTTTTTCATTTTTTTTATTTATCCCGATAATTTATTTATTTTTTGTGTGTTTTTTATTCCAGTTTTAATAAAAAGTTTAATATTTAAATCACATGTGTACTACCATTTTGTGGTAATCTTTACTCAAAATTTGGGTTGAAATATTACAGTACATTTGAATGATTACAAATTGATTTGATATAAACATTATTAATGTGAATAAATACAATAAAAATGGTATTTACATTATTTAGATAGTTTATTTAACATTTTACAATTATTTGTGTTGATAAAGTATCTTACCAGAGTAAATAAAATACTTTTTTCTTTTTTGAAGTTATTAATTGTAAAAATAAAACAATTTATTAATACAACCTTTTGTTCATAGAGGTGTTTTTTATTATATTGCAGGAGTGTGATATTATTACGAATATTTATTAAAAAGTGGTCTGGGTATAATAAGGTGATTTTGAAAATTTCTGGTTCATAATTATAGTCACAAAAATTACTTTTTTACAAGTTTTCTCAAAAATAAATTTATTGTTATTAACTCATATGAAATTTGTATTTTTTATTATTTAAAACACACTTTTTAAAAAAAATGTTTAAATAATACTCTTTAAGTTTAGTTATTAATAATAATCCAATACATCAAGTTGAATAAACTTAAAAATAAAATTCGTTTCTATCAATATGAGTCGCCTCTCAAGTTACCATATCATGGTGGTATCACAATATTTCAAATCATTTTCAGACTTCATTTGTATTCAATTAATTGTTAAAAAGTATTCCAACCTCCTCGAGATGTTTCACTTCAATCCCATTCCCCTAACAACAAAGACAATTCTATATTTTCCAAACATCGAAACACTTCACGTGTATAGTCAATTTGATGAGATTTTTGGCAACACGCTTGCTCAGTACACCACACCTTCTTCAATACCAAAAACGTCCGTTATAAAACGAGAATTTTTTGAAGTTGTTTTGCATTATGAAATTTCTTTCCAGGTGTTTTTAAACTTCCAACATTCACAAAGTTCAAAAAATCAAAGGGGTAACACAACACTCCAATTTACATTCAAAAATGTGAATTTTTCACGTGAAGACTTTTTGAATTTCAAAGCGTTGATTCTTCCCGTGTTGATGAAGAACACGCTACTTTGTGAATTTAAAGAAGACAAAATTTTGGTGAAAATGCACGAAATTATTAATGAAAAGATGAAAGTAAATGAAACGAAGAAATTACAACTTGAAAAGTTGACTGGAGACTTTTCTATGATCAAAAGCTTTGGTAACAAATGTTTTCAATATGAAGAGACGTTGACATCATTCACTCCACCAAAGGGTGTAACATCGCTTGGTAAATATTGTCTATACAACTGTTATAATTTGATTGCCGTGTCACTTCCTGAAACACTCAGAAACATCGACGAAAAGTGCTTTAAAAATTGCACTGCTCTTAGACACATCAATATTCCATTCAACCTTAAAATACTGAGAAAATCAGTCTTTGCGTCGTGTTGCTCACTTTCAGGTGTTTCACTCTCAAATAATGTGAAAGAGATAGGGCAGAGGTGCTTTGAAAAGTGCACTAGTATTAGTCATTTTGATTTCCCAAATAACTTAACTTCGCTTGGAAGAATGTCATTTAATTCGTGTTGTAATTTGCAGTTTGTTTCTCTTGGATATTCAATTGAAAGTGTTGGAGAAAAGTGCTTCATAGATTGTGCTGGTCTTAGTGAAGTACAAATTGGGAATAAAGTGAAAAATATAGGCAATGAGTGTTTCTCTGGTTGTTTCAAACTAAAACGTGTAATGTTTGAAACTAAAGTTCTTGATAAGATTAGTGAATCATGTTTTGCTTTTTGCTCAAATATCGTGGAAATTGAAATTCCAAAGTCTGTAACAAAACTTGAGAGAAAGTGTTTTTATGATTGCGAGTCTTTGTCAAAAATCAAGTTGCCAAACACACTCACCAACTTTGGTGAAAATTGCTTTGAAATGTGCTCGTCTTTAACCTTTGATGGTTTAACACATTTAATACAATAAATAAAGTTGTTATAAATCGTTTTTTATTAACATTTTAATGATTCACAATTTATTTTGGCGACTAAATTGTTTAAAAATATTATAATATTAAATTAACAAGTTTTAACACTTTAAATAATTTTGTGGTCAAAAAACATAAAATAATAAGTTTATTAAACAATTAACATGATTATCAATGTTAAAATATGAATAACTTCACACAACAAGAATAAAATAAGAAACAATTAAAATAAATATATTTTAGTAAAACATGTCAATTAAATAACAAGGCGTTATTTTTATTATAAAAATTATTAAAAATATTATATTATATTTTTTCCATATAAAATTTGTAACTCCAATGTTATTATATTAATCAAATAAAATTGTTTTTAACAGACAAAAAATGGTTTAAAGTAACTGGCAACATTTGCCGTCTTTCTTTTTATTCTCTTCCTCATTTTCCATTTTGGGTGTATATGTAAGGCCGACTTTAGCAGCTTCCATAAACAATTCCTTTAAATTGAACTGAGTGAGTGCCGAGCATTCAATGTACTTTTTAGCTCCAAGTTTCTTGGTCATTTCCTCTCCCTTACTTGAGTCCATAATAGTGATATTCTCTTCCTTTGCCTTCTTCAAAAAATCTTGGTCTTCTCGAAGATCTGCTTTTGTTCCAATCAATAGAAATGGAGTGCCCAAAGCATATTCATCGATTTCGGGTTTCCACTTCCCTTCAATGTTATCTAAAGACCCTTGTGAGATCAAAGAAAAACACATTAAAAAACAGTTGCACCCGGGGTATGATAAATGTCTGAGTCGATCATATTCTTCTTGCCCGGCAGTATCCACCAAAGACAAGTTAATTTCTTCATTGTCAACTTTGGTTATAGCGTTGTAATTTTCAAAGACAGTTGGAACGTATTGTGTTGGAAAGGACCCACTCGTGTATGAACATAATATACATGTCTTCCCAACAGCTCCGTCGCCTACTATAACCAATTTAACGTTTTTTGGTGTAGCCATTGTACTTTATTAGTTCATTTTTATTGGTTTTTAATCGAATGGTGTAAAGAGGTCTATGGAAGGTTAAATAATTCATTTTTTATTCTACTATTATTACCAATGGAATTTTGAGTGTTTTGTTAATCGTTTTTTGCCATAGCAGACAATCAATTTATTATAAATTGATATAAAAGTAACTATTATAAATTCAACTTTAAAAGTTAATGTTGTTTTTGACTTAATTATTGAAATAACTTACAAAAAAAGATATTTTTAAGTCAAAATAATTACACATTTTTTCTTTAAAAGATTGATTATTTCACGAAAAACAATAAAATATTTTTGTTTTATTTAAAGTTTAATTAGAGCATTTAAATTGTTATATATTTGAATAATTATTGTTATATATTTCATTTTTGTCATCTTTCCCCATCTCCAAGTGATGGAATATACATAAAAGAATTAATTAATACTTATTTGTTTATACGATATAATTTTGATAATAGTCCAGTCCATGTTCCAGTCTTATTCGATATAAGGTCAAATAATAAAAACAAGAATAATAAACAAAAATACCACATTTTGTTTTTTGTCTCAATATAAATCCAAATTATATTTTCGCCCCAAAAATATTTTTGCCATTTTTTATAAAATTTTTGTAATTTATTATATCAAAAACAAATGCTTTATTTTACTAGTGTTTATTAATACACAAAACGTCCGTTATAGAATCAAAATATTGACAGACAACATAAACAGCATTAAAACGAACATATGAAGAGCAATATTGACAACTCTTGGTTTTAAAATAAACATGCGTTGTTTCAAAATAATTCAACACGCTCCAATGACACGTTAATTAACATTATATCGGTTTTAGATAAAAAACGCATTTGCTGTTAAAATAATTTTTAAAATTATTTAATTTTTTTTCAACTTAATGACAATTTGGTTTATGTATTACCATTTTAAAGTTATGAACAAAAAATTATTATAAAATAGCAAAAAAATAGAAGTTGTTGTTTTTTGATTTTTTTTAATATCCGATTAGAGAAATCTTTATTATTTCTTGGTCTTTTATTGAATAAATCCTTATATCGAATAGCCCTCTTATCGAATATTGACTGTATTAAAACATCTATTAAAGAGTTAATAACAACTTCTTTTTCTTATCATAATAATTGTAATAAATAAAACAATAAAATTAAACGTCCCAAATTTGCTTTTTTCAAAAAAATAAGTAAAAAAAGTTTTAAGAATAAATAACGTTTCCAGACTGACTTTATTTTGTTGTATTAATAATAAAAAATAATTTATCTTATTATTGTCTCCAACAATAAATAATTTTTTATAAAATTTTATATATTTGGGTCGCTAAACAATAAATTATTTTGATTTGTAGACTTTGTTATATTTTCACAGTTATTATTAATGTTATTTGCATTATAATCAGCTTCTTGCTTTCTTTAAAAGTGATGTGCAATAGCTCTGTTGTATTATTATAATATAGTTATACCATTTCGACACTATCATTTTCGTATTGACACAGAAACATTTATTCAGTGTTGATATTAATTATGAGTAAGCCACAGAGCTGTAACGGTTAATGGAGACGTTACTAAACCGTTAAGAAGTCTTTGATTTTTTAATAAAAAATAATTATCAAATACAATTATCAAAAAATGGGAGTGTTACATTTTGTACAGAACAATATTGCTAAAAAACGTTGTCATGAACTCTGGGTTAAAATTAACATTTTTTTTCTATTTTATATCTTATTAAAAATATGACAAACAATTAAATATTAAAAATTTATTTTAAGTGTTAAATTCATTAGTTTTTTTATTATTTCATATAATTAAATTCGTTAAAATTATAATAATTCCCAAGAATTTTGTGTCTCATTTTCATATGTTTTTTCAATTTTTATTATTTTATGAACATATTTTACATTATTACCAATATTATGGCAATATCTTATTGAAATTAAGGAGTTATTTTAATTATGTAAACACAAACAAAAACTCAAGTTATAAGATTAACAAATACATTAAATTAATTATAATCGGCATTTTAAAATGATGTTGTCATTGATTCAAACAAAAAAACTGGTTTTTGCTCAAACTTTAATTTCAAATAATGATCCTATTGATTACAGTTGTACTTGCTCTTCAAGTTGATGCAATTTGGTGCGAAACAAGTGGCTTGATTTCTTATAACAAACAAACTTCAACCTGCGCATTAATTACAAGGGGTCTAGACATTTCCAAAGTTGACAGTTCAAAAGTTTCAATCACGTTCACTGAAAGTTGTTGCTCAACAAACGAAATAACATTTGACGATCGAAGTTATCCGGCTGACACAATTTCACAATTTAATTTTGCCAATACGGAAATAGCTCTTTCTGCTTTGTTTGTACGAACGGGGCTTTCTTCAAGTTATGTTGAGTTTGGTGACCTTTATCCGGAGGGTCTTTTTGTTTCGATGGGATGCTTCGGAGGAACTTCAGGGTGTCGTACAAGTGTTGATTATGGTCAAATTGGAACCGAATCTGCTCGTTCTGAGTTCGTTGTCCAATCTAAAGGCCTCCACCTATATTCAGATATTGACCAGATGTGGATAATCAGTAAAAATAAGACTGTTGGTGATAAACCTTCATATTTATGTATAGATGGAACAAAGAAGCAGACAATTCTTTTTAAATTTAATTACGACTATGTGTTTGGTGAGAACTATGGAAGTGGAAGGTATCTCTTCACTGCCAACTCGGCAATAACGTACAACATGGCGTTAAAAAATCCATCAAACGGCACAGTTTCATACATCCAGAAATTAGTGTGCAACCGAAATGGAGTTATCAGGTATTTGTTATTCGACACTGGGTATGCGGGGGTAACAGATAACACGGAGTGCACATGCAAGCCAACAACAACTTCAGTCACAAACGATTACAACTTCAATTTCCCGGATTGCAGATACAATTCAACTGCATTTGATTTGGATTTGAGTATGTTGAGTGGCAGCCCGATAAGTGTCACAATCTCTCCAACAGCAAATGTGTGGTATTCCGCAATATTTGGCGCATCAAAGGCGTACACAGTTACTCCATTACCAACAAACACAGATGGAATCACTTTCACCAAACTCACAATTGAGAGTGAAAAATCTGTCACTTTTGAGATGAAATGCACAGTCAAAACACTCACAATAAATTCAGTTGGGAATTTCTATTTCAAAGGAGGAATTTCAATTGAGACGGTTTCACTTGATAGTTCAACAAATTTTGTAAATAACATCCTCTTTTCCGTTGATGGAAGTTTTGAAGATAAAAGCAATTTACTGACAAAATGTGGGCGACGTGCTGTTCTGAAAACGTCCATCAACACGTTGTGTGACTGCCGATATGATGGCAGTAAGTTCACAACAAGTGACACAGTCAATCCAAATTTGAACCGTGACGACTGTGTTGACGCAACACTTGAAAACGGACTCACTCTTGTTGTTACTGGAAGTAGTTACAATCCAACAAAAAGTGGGGTGTGGAAAGCAATCAAATCCACAAGCCCTGCAATTGAAATATCTCTTGGACAATTCACGTTGAGTGCAGCGAGTTGCAGTTTTGGTGGAAGTGTCACAATTCCAAAGTCAACAGTGACATGCACACATTTCGACATTTCACAAAACACACAAATCACAACACAAGCCACATTCAGTTTCTCGACATTCACTGCAACACAACAACTCACAAGAAGTAACACAAGTGGTGTTGTGAAGGTGTTATCCAGTGGAAGTGTTCCGTCTCTGAGTTCGATTCAATACACTGGAAGTGACTTTACCAACTGCTTTGAGTTGATTTCATACCAAAGTGAAACACAACAAACACTGGACACGGCAAACACAAAGATGCTTGGAAAGAAGTTGGTTCGCCACTGTGGAACATCTACATTTGATTATGGCATTCTGTGTGTTTTTCTCAAGAGTGAAATGAACAACAACACAAGTTATCAAAACGAAGTACTTCACTGCCCAACTAACACAACCAACACAGTAATTCAGATAAACACTGCAAGTTACACGCAAACAGTGCAATTTGATGGCGTCTTCTCACAGCAAATCACACAAACTTCTCTCATAAAAAAAGACGCAAAAGTGTCACAATTCCAAGACAAAAGTAACACAGTGATTTGCATTGACAAGAACTCACTTGATAAACAAACCATTTCAGTGTCACAATCAGCAAGTAAACTGTTTGTGAGTTCTTCATTTGGCTTTGAAAATACCGCAAAGGCGATGAAGGGTGCAACCGATGGCGTTTCTGTTGTGTACAGTTCTTCAACAAACTGCACAGCCTTTCTTGTCAAAGGCATCACAACAACATGTGAGAGTTGCAGAAGTTCATATCTTACGAATGGTCTGTGTTACAATTACGACAGTTCTTGCACCAACTACTATCAGGGAGCAACTTCGTCAGTGTGCGACACGTGTGGCAATGGGTATGAGGCGTACAAATACGAGTGTGTCAGTTGTAACACGGGTGGTGCAACAACGTGCACACATTGTGTTGGTGGGAAGTGTGTTGAGTGCGATGACTGGAATCTTGTTGAAAGCGGTGTGTGCAAAGGAGTTGACAGAGTAACAACACTCCTTCATGACAGAGGAATCTCACTCAAATGTGCGAATGGGTACTACAGTCACTACGATGTGTGTTTAAAAGC